ACAAGAAACACGGTGTAGTTTTCTGTTGTTCAGGTCTGCTTTTGTGTTTTTAGGAGTTTTTTAAAAAATGTTATTTTTTGTATTTAGTACAGAGTCTACTGAGTCTCACTACACAGATTGGACTTCTAGTGATTCTCCTGTTTTCAGCCTCCCAAGCACTGGGATTACAGGTGTGTGCCATCACGCCCAGTCTCAGTTGCCCTCTCAGTGCACCCCAGGGGCGGGGCTGGCAGAGTATGCTGGGGATCAGACCTCAGTCCCTGCATCTGCCTAAACAGGTGCTTTAATTTGGTGAGCTATCTGGCTGGCCCTAAAAATTCTCATTTTTCATTATAGCCTTTGGCATTATAAAGTTTCCTTTGTCTTCACTAATGATTTTTGTCTTGCATTCTACTTTATACAGGTGATATCAAGATTAAGATCTGTATTTTATTTTTATTATATTTTGATATAGTTCTGTAATCTTATTCTTAGTGGTGGAATCACTTTTAGATATATCTCTTGTGTAGGAAATAGGGATGGATTTTGCTTTCTAAGTTAATCTGAAAATTGTTTTCTTTCTTTTTTTGGTTTGAATATAAGGTGAGTTATGATCATTTATACTTCCTGATAAATATGCCACATTTAGGCTTATTTCTGTTAAGTAGCTTTCAGATATTTATTGTATGTATATAGATGAGTTATGATTGTGTTTTATTTATTTATTTATTTATTTATTTATTTATTTTTTGCGGAACCGGGGATTGAACTCAGGCCCTTGTGCTTGCCAGGCAAGTGCTTAATCTACTGAGCTATCTCCCCGGCCCCTGTGTTATATTTATTGACAAATGTGCTATGTTTAGGTTTATTTCTATTATACAGCTTTCAGATGATTCCTGTGTATTTATACAGACCTTTTTACTATGTGTTTTGTTTTCTTTGTGCTCACCTCCTTTTTTTTGGAAGGTTGATTCTCATTTAAATTGTTACTTTTAAATAAAAATAATTATATATTTAGCCTTTCTATGGATATAGCCTTTGTTGCATATCATAAACAATACAAAAATCTAGTAACTCTCTTTCCTTTTGCTGTATCAGTTTTATGTACTTCACTGTATTTAAGGTTTATATTAATTGACTTACAAGCCTCAAATTGTTTCTGTTACTTAACTTAAAAAGTTAAAGAATTTAAATATTCTTCTATTTTTTAGTTTCACATTTGTTGCTTCTATATTTCCAAAGCTGCTATCATGTAATGTTCTTGCCGTCTTTGTTTTCAGTATAAAAATAAACATTTTTAGAGAAGTTTTAGATGCAGAGCAAATTGAAAGTGCAGAGTTCTCGTATATCTTGCTATTAATGTCACCCAACAGTATGAGAAATGTATAATAATTAATAAAGCTCCACTGACTCATTCTCTTCAGAGTGCACAATTTACATTAGGATGTTAGACATTTATTTTATGAGTTGACAAGTGTAGAATGACACATATCCACCCGTCCAGTGTCATAAGTGTACTTTCTCTGCCCTGAAAATCCTCTATGCTCTGCTTCTTCATCTCCTTTCCTCTTAAATTCTTTTTTTTTTTTTTTTTTTTTTTTTTTTTTTTTTTTGTGGAACTGGGGATTGAACGCAGGCCCTCGCGCTTGCCAGGCAAGCACTTATTCCACTGAGCCATCTCCCAGCCCCTCTTTCCTCTTAAATTCTGACAGGTATTTTATCATCATGAAAGTTTTGGTGGTGTCCAGGATGTAATGCAGTTGGAAATAGTATAGTTTATACTTTTTTCAGATTGACTTCTTTCCCTTAGTAGTATACATTTTTTTCCCCTCTATATCTGTTCATGACTTATTAGCTCTTTTTTTTTTTCTTTTTTCTTTTTTCTTAATATCAGATGAGATTCCAGTGTCTTAATGCACAACAGTTGTTTATCTGTTCATCCACTGGAAGAAATCTTGGCTGCTCTAAGTTTTTGTGGCTATGAATAAAGTTGCTGTAAATGTGTACATTGAGGATTTTGTGTGCATGTAAGTTTTCCACTTCAAGCATGCACCAGTGCTGGATCATATGGTGTAGTATCTGTCTGCCTTTGTAAGAAACTGTCAAACCATCTTCTAACGGCTGCACTGTTTTGCTTCCGCCAGCAAAGAATGAGAGTCCTTCACTAGCATGTGATGTTTTCAGTGTTCTGATTTTCCATAGTATAGCAGGCATGTAGTGGCAGCTTACTGTTGCTCCCCGTCCCCATCTGGTGATTGAACCCAGGGCCTTTGCACTGAGCTAGCTACGTTGCTCTTTCAGTTTTTTATTTTGAGTCAGGATCGAATTGTCTAAGCTGGGCTCAAGTTTGCCAACTTCCTGCTTCAGCATCCTACAGTTCTGGGGTTGTAGTTAATGCACTACCACACCTAGCTCTCTCATAGTTGTTTTAATTTGTAGTTCCACAGTTAGAAATGATGTTGAGCATCTTTTATGCTTATTGTCATCTGTGTATCTTCTTTGATGAAATAGCTGTTCTGATGTTTTTGCCTATTTTTAAAATCAGGTGGTTCTTTGTTGATATTTTAGGTAACAGTCCTTTATAGATAAGTCTGCAAATTCTTTCATTTTTGTGGCTTACCTTCCCATCCTTTTGATATCCTTAACTTTTAGTCTCAGACCTATTGTTAAGTGGTTTCCTTCTTGCCTCTACTCCTTAATAGAAGATTATATGGGCTATATTATTATTATTATTGAAACTTATTCTCTGCTTCGTTACTCAGATAGGCCAGGGCAGAGACATTTTAAGGTCTTATAGGCTTGAAATACTTTGTTGTCCACACATAAAGGAAACTTGGGCTAGATATAAAATACTCAACTCACATTTTCCCCCTTATCTAAAAGTGTTACTTCGTTGTTTTCTAGTATAATTTGTTGGTGAAGTTTAAAAGAAATCTGATTTTTCTTGTCCTTACAGGTGATGTGGCTTTATGTTTAACTTTTGCATTTTAAATTTTATGACTGATAGAACATGAAGTTTGTATATATTGGTGGGGCAGGACAGTGTTCCAATACATTATACATTGCGTCATGTTTAAATCAGGTTGAACATACCACCTCAAACATTTACCTTGTTTGTGTGTATGTGGCCCTACTGGGGATTGAACCAGTGGCCTTACAAGGAGTTCTATCTTTTGCCCCTTTAGAAGTTTTTTGTTTTCGAAGTTTGAAAGAGAGAGGATATGCCTAAATTGCCCACGCAGGTCTTTCACTTTGCCATCTGCCTGCCTCAGACTTCCAAGTGGCTGGGATTACAGGTTTCCTTCCTTCCTTCCTTCCTTCCTTCCTTCCTTCCTTCCTTCCTTCCTTCCTTCCTTTCTTTCTTTCTTTCTTTCTTTCTTTCTTTCTTTCTGTTTAGTTTTGGTGGAACCAGGGATTGAACTCAAGCCCTTGCGCTTGCCAGGGAAGTGCTTATCCTACTGATCCATCCCCAGCCCTCTAGGTATTATTTCTTGATGGCCATTCAAAATCCGATCTTCTAGATTTTTGAAATGTGTATTACATTGTCCTTATTTTTATTTATAGTCTTCTTACTGGGCAGTAAATAGTACAGTAGAACTTTCAGCTGTAACTTTACATACTTGTTTCTGGTTTTTGTGTTTACACGAATTATATTTCCTTGGATTATTCTTTGGTTTGTAAGGTGTTCCTGTGAAGGAGTAGGGAAAGCCAGAGTCAACTTCCTCTGCGTTCTTATCAGTGTATTTGGGTAGTTGTTACTGTCTTTCAGAGATAGGACTTGCTCACGGGCTTATTGTTCCATAGTAGATATGTGTTTTCTCTTGTAATACTTTCTGTGATCTGTTTCCTTTAGGACTTTATCTATTTTCTCTTCTTGTATTGTAATTCTTCTTTCTCCTATCTCTATTATTTCTGTACTGCATTTTTTTCCCATTAGGGTAAGATCTGGTTTTTGGTAAGGGATTCTAGCTTCTGGATGGAATATGTAGATTTTTTCACTCACCTGTGAAAACCTGCTTTTCTCCTGATCTTCCGGTTTTCTCCAGTGATGAACTCCACTCCTTTTGAGGGATTTGTTGGTGGTGTGGGCATTCAGAGTTCCTTTTCATTTCCCTTTGATCTTTTATGCTCAGCTGCTGATCCTGAATAATGGATAATTTAGACACATTCTCTTCTATTCTGAGATTTGTGGCAGTTATCCTTTACCTAGTTTTGTTGGAGACACTGTTAAGTGCTTCTCATTATCCTAGTTGGTATGTTGATTTTCAGGAATTGACTTTGGGGGTTTATACTGTCACCACAGTTGCAAGACTAACTGATTTTATTAGTGTAATTGTGACTAATAGGTAAGGCACTTGAATTTTTTGAAAAGGTTAGTTTGAAAGATTAGTTCAGGTCTACTTCATGTAAAATTGTGTATTTTAACATCTTACAAAGTGGTTTTTTTGAACATCTGTTTGTGACCTATTGAGAAGTCATTTATAAATGTGAGATACAATTTTTGTCATTGCCATTCTTGTTGATTTTAAGTGCTAGTATGCATTGTTTACCTTACTGCAAAATGAATTGTATATAGTCTCATAGAAATTTTAATTATAGTATAGTACATGAAATGATATGTAAATAAATGATTTTAATATAAATGTGTAAAAGCCACTGAACTTTTACTAAAATTGATAAGCATAATTTAAAATTTAAAATTCCTTGCTTAATGGAAATGATTATTGTTTAGAGAAAAGCTAAGGTAAAAATTAAGTAATTTTATTATTTTTATATATAATGTATAATTATATTTAATCTTTGGATGTTTTGTGAAATTGACAATTTAGTGTTGAGATTTACAATTTTATACTTGCCTAATTGTCTTTCATGTAGCAAATGTTAGGTGATCATTTTCACTATAAGCATATGGAAAAAGACAGTATTAATATTTTGTTAATCTTATTAGTAAAGATTACATAATCTATTGAATCTAACTTCAAACTATGGAGATGCAAAATAAAATTATCAATTTTTCATAGGAACTGAAGTTAAAAGATGAAGAATGTGAAAGGCTTTCAAAAGTTCGAGATCAACTTGGACAGGAATTGGAAGAACTCACAGCTAGTCTGTTTGAGGTTGGTCTATTTATGTCTTGGCCAACAGCAACATCTCAGTTTTTATATACCAGTAGACTTATTTTTTGAAGGAATCTTGAAAAGGATATGCTTAGCTTTATGTATATTCTTAAGTCCTCTAAGCAAAAAATAGAATAAAATTGTTAATCAGTATAGAGTCTATAACTTAAAATGAGATAAAAGAAAATATAATACAGGTGTTTTGAGGAATGTTAGAGGGCATGTCTCAGTATCTCCTTCTGCCACTAGGGCCAACATTTCTACTAATGAGAGCAGTAATTCTGAATAGTAGAGTCCCTGGTACAGAGAAATAGAAGTGACAGGTGTATATGTGTAAGAAAAAAACAGAGGCAGGGATACTCATTGTCATTACGAATTGGCCTGTGCAGTTGTGGATGCTGGCCGGCCCCAGGAGCTCTGGGGTGAATTGAGAAGCTGGGGCAGTGGGATAGTGTAGTTCCAGTCTGAGTCCAAAGGCCTCAAAACTAGGAGAAGCTGGAGTTTTATTTAGTCAGAAGGGAGGAAGGATTTTATTAAGGTGATAGTTTTTGTTCTGTTGAGTCCTCTAGTTAGTTGGATGAGCTCTGCTTACCTTCAAGAGGACAGTGCATTCATTACTCAGCCTACCGGTTTAAGTGCTACTGTCAGTTAGAAACACCCTCACAGAAATACTCATAATGATATCTGATGAGGTTTTTGGCTACTGTCAAGAGTTAGACAAATTAAAGTTAACCATTATACTGGGCTTTAATCCAAAAGTGCTAATAATTCTAACTAGTAACTTACAGTATTTCTAGGGGGTGGGAGAGAATTGGATTAAGACCTTAAGTTTTTAAAAGAGCCTTATAAAAACATGTTGATGTGTTATTATATGGGCTGATGCCATCATTACTGAACATTTTCTTTTTTAACCTGAAAATTTGTTCAGGTTTTATTGTAATAAGTATATTAGGGCAAAAGTTTACCACCTTTTGTTATTTTTATTTATGCAACATCTATTTCAGTTTTAGAAGTATACAGAAGAAGAAGAAGAAGCAGAGAGAAATGTCTCCCTCTGTAGCAGGATACAAAGGGCGAGAAATGTGGTTTGTGAAATTAGTAAATCACATCTAAAAAGAAAAATAACAATATTGGGTTTCTAATCTATCCCTAATCCAAAGGAAGTTAATAACTTTGATGCTGTGAATGCTCTGTGGCTAAAGATAATTTCGTTAATGAAAAAAGTTGTATTCACACTAATTGTTTATGAATTGCAAAAAAGGCTAAAAGCTTTTCTGTAATCTTAATTGTGCCTCCACATTTTTAGTTTACTGTTGTCTTATGAAATATTTTTCACTTGCATCTTATGTGTGTGTATACTTTTAAGAGTTAAAATTACTTAAAATAGACTTCATCTGTACATTTTTTGGTTGTACCTAATATAAATTGCAAATTAGGAATTTATTATTGTGTATGATGAATAGTCTTGAGTATAACTATACTTTGAAAGGGCTGGCCAGGTTGCTCAGTGGACTAAAGGGCCTGCTTAGGCAGAGCAGGAGCAGCAGGAATTGATCCCCTGTGTGCCGTGCTGGCCCCAACCCCCAGGTATGCTGAGAGGGCGACTGAGACTGGGCGTGGTGGAGTGTACCTGTAATCCCAGCGCTTGGGAGGCTGAAAACAGGAGAATCACCATGAGTCCAATCTATGTAGTGAGACCCTGTAGACCCTGTACTAAATAAATTGAAAAAAAAATAATACTTTGAATGTAGCAAATTGAGTGCTTAAAAAAGTATCAGATGCATATAAGAACTGCAGACACAAGAATTTCAGAGTTCATATGCTTTATGAAATAATCTGTACTTATATGGAAAAAGTCATCTTAAAGTAATTCTTATGTTTTATTAGCTACTTTCAGTACATTTCTATGATGTACATTATACACTCAATGCTGTAAGTTTTATAAGGGTAGATTTTATAATTTCATATGTAAAGAAATATGAGGCATAGGAAGCCTAGTAAGATGTGTTAGTTCTCAAATTCATGACTGACTCTTGCTGTAGGTTCTGTGAAATTCATGGGTTTTTTGTCTCAAGCCACAGTAAAGGAATCATTGTGAGATCTCTCCTGTGTTCAAGCCACATTTCAATTTTCAGTAAGGTCTTGCAATGCTGTCTACAGACTATAAAGCAAAACATTTCAGAAGCATTGCGATTTCTCACCTAGCTCTGTAGATGTCAAATTTCTTGATCCTGTACTCTGTCAGTAATAGAAAAATTTGAGCACATACCTAATACTTATTGACAGGAGCCTGTGTGCCAGGCACTGTCCTAAGAGCATATATTTTTATTTACAAATTGCATTCATATACCAATATATGTATATTTAAATATGAAAGTTTTTTTTAAATACAAAAATTTTAAAAGATGGTACAGTGTAATAAAATACTTAAAAATGTTGTAATACAAAATTATTTTATTCCTACTGAAATATTCTTTATATATGTATTTTAATATATATTTAGTGAGGACTGTGTTTGAATGTTACCCTGTTTTTGAAAATTTTATTTTAGCAATTTATGACTCGTAATGGTCTAATCTAAGTTTTATTTTTAAAATGTTCACCATTGCTGGCTGTTAGAGAAAACTATTTTAAACAACATTAAGATTCTATCTCCTCCCAGAAATAATGGCTATCATCAAATCAAATAATTACAAATGCTGGGATGCCTCAGGAAGAAAGGAACCCTTTTACCCTGTTGGTGGGAATCTAAACTAGTATGGTCACTGTGGAAATCAGTATAGAGATTCCTCACAAAGTAAAACTAGAAATTTCACTTGACCCAGCTGTTCCTCCTTTAGATATTCTCCTGAAAAAGTTAAAGTCACACTGCAGGGCTGCATGCATGTTTGTAGCAGCACAGTGTGCAATAGCTCAGTCTTCCAAGCAGCCCATATGGCCATCAACAGATGAGTGGATACAGAAAGTGTGGCACTGCTGCACACTGTGGATGCTGCACACTGCTCTTCCACAAAGAAGGATCAACTTGAATCATTTATAGGAAAATGGATACACCTTGAGGCTGTAACATTAAGTGAAATAAATCAGATGTACAAGTTTAAGTATCATTTAAATATTATAACTAAAGAGCAAAATAAAAAGTAGACAGCAAGAAGTAGGGAGAGAGATCTTTCTCAGATGGGAAGTGGGGTTAAGAGATGGCAGTTGGAAGGGGACGGTGGAAAGGAATGAAGAAAGAAATTGAGATGTACAGGACTAGCTCCACATAAGGAATGTAAACATGATGTACTACAGACATGTACTAATAAAAAATAAGGTTGGGGGCAACAAAACAATTAGATGTAATACTGCTAATACAGACCTGCTGATCCCTATGTAATAAGAACATCTTTTTCTGTGGTTAGTTGTGTATCAGATTTCAGTTCAATTGAGAGTTGTGTAAAGATTTTTCCAGAAAATCCTCTATTGAATTATAGTGTGTTCTAATACTAAATTAGCAAATAATTTTACAAATTAGAAGACGTTGAAGATGTTGCATTTTAACATCATCACCATTGTTGTTGTTGTTATTATTATTATTGTTCTGGTACCGGGAATTGACCTCAGGACCTTGTGCTTGCCAGGCAGGTGCTTATTCTGCTGAGCTATATCCTTGGTCCCATTAACATTATTTTTTAAAACCCAGAAGACTACATCCCCTTTATTTGAATTATACTAACCACAAACCACTTAAGATCAATGTATATTATTGCAAAACTAATCAAGAGAATCAGTTGAAGAGCAGAACAAGAGAACTACACAACTGAAAAATTTAATAAGATAGCAAGAGTGAATCCTTACTTCACAATAACTTTTTAAAATGTAAGTGAACTATAGTCCTTATTCTTGAATTGATAAATAGCAAAAGCCTAACTATGCTATTTATGGGAAACTCATTTTTGATATAAGAATACTCAAGGTTAAAAGTGAAAGAGGTAGAAACATCGAACTGAATAACATTGTCTGTATGTCTTATCTAATCTTATCTTTCCATAAAATGAAGTAATATATATTCTGTGAGACCAGTATCACCCTAATATAGAGGACAACAAAGCAACCAAAGAAAAGAAAAAAACTACAGGTCAATATTCCCAATGAATTTGGTACAGAAATCAGTGTAATATACTATACTAATAGAAAGACATATATCTCAATAAAACAATTGGTGTGATACACTACGTTAATAGATAAGTCTCCTTCCTTCCTTCCTTCCTTCCTTCCTTC